TATAAAATTATAAATCATATAATATTATATATTATGTCTTCTTCCACTGAAAAACTGATGGGTCGCTCTTCAATCATGCTCGACATCGGGCCAAGATCAAGATGAACAAAACAACAGTACGAGACGTTCTCTTCTCCGATGGTTGCTCCTCTTGTTGCTCACAGTGAATCAACCCTACAAACAATGATGGGCTGTCTATCAACAGCATGCAAGGTCTTCAGTTTGGCCATCAGTGTTTAGAAAACAGTCATCCTTAGGCTCCTCAAGAAGGTGCTGAGCAGAGCCATGTATAGCTGAACGACAAATAAAAGGAACTTGAGACCGCGGACAGGTTCTGTTACCTAAGGTCTACCATCAGCTCTACTTCACCACCTGATGATGAAATCGACATCAGGATCGGGAAAGAATTTAAGCAACAACTTTTGGAAAGCTGATAAAACGAGCACGGGGACACAAAAGATTAACCATCAAAGCAAAGATCAAAATTTACTAAGCACATACATATTATATGTGTCCTCAGCACACTCCTTTATAGACCTGAAACATGCACCTTGTGCAGCTGGCAAGAAAAGCACCTATAATGTATACATTTTCCATCTCAGATGCTGCCGCAAGATCTTATTAGGCATTTCGTGGCATGACAAGTTCACCAAATTTTGAAGTGTTGGCACGGGCAATCCTCCAGAGCATGACTACTATCATGTGTATAAGGAGATTGAGATGGCTGAGCTGTGTCAGGAGAATGGACAACAACCGGGTTCCGAAGCAACTTCTCTATGGAGAACTTGCCCAGGGAAAGAGACCAAGCAAAAGGAAGGCTAAAATTGAGGTACAAAGACTGCCGCAAAAACAGCTTATCTAAGTTTGGAGTAGATGTCAGCATCTGGGATGAAATAGCTGAGGACAGGAAACATGGAGAGAAAAAATAAAGGAAAAAACTATAATGCTAGAGAGTAGCCTCGGGATTTAACATCAAGGCTGAGAAGCGCCAACGACGATAGGAAAACAGCAGAAATACAGAGCTTCGATCCACATCACTGACATGCAAGCACTGCCATAGAATCTGCGCCTCAAAAATAGGAAGAATGAGCAATGAAAGAAGCTGCATGAAGACAACCTTGAGACCATCTTAAGCTAAATTGACCGTCTGCGCAGACGAAAAAGAGCAATACACATATTATTATACATGTATATGCGTGTATATTACATATACATGTATATATATTTCATATATCTACCTATTTATACATCTCTTGATTTTCTCTCTCTCTCTCTCTCTCTCTCTCTCTCTCTCC